AGGAGAAATAAAAAGTAAAAAAAAGAGCGGATAAATAAATAAAAGGACGAAGACGGAGGAGGAGGAAGGTCAGACGAGCCGTAGTGCGGGAGGTGAGGGCAGAGCGCAGAGCCCCTGCCCCTCTCCTCGCCTGACAGACGGACACAGGGGCGAGCACAGGTCCCTGACCTACCGCGAACATCTCCAGGAGATTTCAAAAGCACCAATTTAATTTCCAAAGCAATTTTCCCGCGGCTGAGCCAACAGCTCTCCCTGCCCTCTCCAGATCGGAAAACGGGAATTTTTTATTTTTTTTTTAAACCTTCTCGTTTCTCTACATTCTTCTCGGGGAAGGAAAGAAACGAAAGAGAGATGGGGAGGGAAAGAAGATGCTGCAGGGCAATGTTTTCAGGTCGGGCACTGGGGCACAGGGGATTGGACGTTAATATTAAATCCTAAATTCACCGTGAAAACGGGAGTTTCTGCGCAGTCACAAGGAAAGGCCAGGGCAGTCCTGGAGTAAGGATCAAACTATTGGAAAAGATGTTCTTGATGTCATAAGGTGGTTTTTATAATCCAGGATGATTTATTTTTGTTCGGGGCCGCGAGAAACTAGAAAGAGAGAAAAACAAAAAAACTACCGGAGAAAGGAATAAGATCTTGACCTTTCCTAATTCTCCAAATCAGCAGTAATGGGAAGCAGAAGGTGCCAGGGGAAGAGGCAGGGGGTGAGGGCCGAGCGGGGCCGGGCGGGCCGGGGTCCCGCACCCACAGCCCGCAGCGGGCGAGGGAAGGGCCGCTCGCTTCCCTCCTCGGGATCCGCACCGCTTAACACGGGCTCAGTTAAGCGAAAGCAGAGAAAGAAATTACACACACGCAGCCCTCCCGCTGTGGTCCCGACGGGGATATTCCGGGGCAGGATCGTTTTATCCCGCCCCGACAAACCCGAGGAGAATCCCCCGTTTTCCGCCTCTCCCGGGCTGCGCACACACGGAAATCCGCCGCGGAGTAACTACGCAGAGAGCGTCGCGGTTTTGCTACAAGCCTTTCATCTGACATATAGAAAGCAGAGGAGTGGGGGCACATTAGGGAAAAAAAAAAAAAAAGAAAAAGAAAAAGAAAATCTCCATGAATGCGTGACCAAAGCCAAAAGCAAGGCAGGAAAATCTGCACCCCCCTTGTCCTACTCGGAAACAGCCGCCGATCCGAGAGGGAGAAGTGGGGAAAGAAAAAAACCCCAAACGTACAGAAAAGGATCGGGCTCCTGGAGGGTTTTCCCCGGGGTTTAGCACTGACAAAACCAACTCCCAAAAGCAGCCCCGAGAACCCGGGCTACGGAGCCTACGCACGGGAGGGGAGGAAAAGGGAAATGCTAAGTCGCCTTTTTGGCCAGGGACTCCCAAGCAGCGACTGCAACAGCTAATTATTTTCCTTTCAGTGCTCGGTTATTGCTGGTGTCCTCCTCGCCTCCCCTCCAATAAATAAATAAAACCCTCCTTTAGGCAGCGAGGCGTGAAAAATGATCCTCGCTGAACGCTTAAAAATAACGTCCCGTGAAGATCGGGGCCGCGGAGCCAGCCAGCCCCGTAATTAGGGGCCATTATCCGTCCCGCCTTGCCGAGGCGAAATTTCTCGTGAAACCCCCGAGCCGAGCCCGGCCAGGGCACTCCGGATCCAGGGGAGACCCCCGGGTCCTTCCCGGCCGCCCCCAATTCCGGGCAGAGCCGCATCCCGGGGGCGCTCCCCAAGCCACGCAGACGCTTGCAGGCGGCGTGAGACTGATCGGGGCACGAAACGAGCCGCGGTGCTTCAGGGAATTTCAGGGAATGGGCAAAATTCTAATGTTAGAGACGCTTGGGGTTCTTCCTCCCAAAATAAAACCTCGACGGCGCTTGCAGTCGCAGCCCCCGCAGGTCCGAGCGCGACCCCTCCTGCGTGGGTACCACGTTAAGGGCGGGAATCCCCCGCTCCCCAAGGCAGGTCAGCTTCAATCCTGTCCGGCCACCGCGGCTTAAAACCCCTCAATGACTCCGCAAGGCGAAAGGAGACGAACGGAGCCGGGGAAAGGTGTCCCAGTGCCAGAGCCCCCCCGATCCCCCTCTCCTGAGCGTGTGGGGGCAGGGGGCTCTCCAGGGAAACACCGCTTCCCTGCAGAGGACCCCCCTCCATCCCTTCCAGCCCCGAGACCACCAACTTGGAGAACCCATTGCACCGGCGGGACTGCAGGGGCCACACGCCTCCTTCATCCCTCCGGGCATCCACTGCCATTTCTTATCCGCTCCTGGCACCCTTGGCTCCTTTTCCTCCTGCGCTTCACGAACAAACAAGCCAAAAATTATTTAAAAATCGCTACTTTATGTTAAAATAACCAGCCCCCCTTCTGCCAGGCACACAACCACCACCCAGCCTCGCTGCACATCGCTTTCTTCCCTCGGATCCCGTCTCCTCAAAGCAGGCTCGGTTATTAAAAGAGGCTGAACAAAGATAGCCCCGAGAGCAGCTATCAGCGCATTTTAACTTCATCAAAGACTTCGGGGGAGAGGGAGAGGAGGGGTCTGGCACCTTCTAGTAATGAGCTTGTCAGGAGCACCCCTGCCAGAGCAATTGAACAATTTGCACACAAGCAAAAGAAAAGGAGAGTGGAGGGAGGGAGGAAGGGGAAATGCTACAAAAGCCCCTTCAATTTCCAACCATGTGCTTGGCAATCTGGAAAATAGATTCATTGGCCTCCTCTTTTCTCCCATGTCGAGTCTTGTAGCCCCTTTTGTAGGAGCTGGACATGAAAGGGAGACAACCAAGTGCCGGACACGAAGATCGCTTTTCAAAAGCAAATGTGTGTGAAGGCGAGATGTGAGACCGCTCGCTGCGGGGAGGCGGCACGTTCAGGAACAACATCAACAAACTGCGCGGAGGTTCGAGGTGGCACAGACAGGGGCAGCCGAGGGGGGATAAAAAAGGGATGGGTGGGGGAAGAGAAAAGAAAAGCCGATCCCCCCCTGCTCCCCGGCGCACACCGCCCGGCTCCTGCTCCTGCCGGAGCCCCGGAGGGCCCCGCACAAAGCCCCGTGCCCGGGGAGCGGCTCCGTCCCCGCTCCCTGCCTCGCACGGCTCAGCTTTTTTTTCCTTTTTCTCCTTCTCCTTCAGCTGGCTGCCCGGTCAGAAAGGCCTCGATTCTTTCGATCAGGGTCCCTGCCAACAAGCAAACCAAAGAGCCACGTTTGGTCCCTGAAAAAAAAAAATAAATTGGAAGGGGGGGGAGAGAAGTTTGGAAGAGAAGGGAGCGCTTTAAGATGTTTATTTACTTTGTAAGTTGTTGCAAAATTTAGGTAGAGATCAAGTTTCATTCGGTCATTCAGATACTGCAGGCCCGAGGGGGACGTGTATGCGGGGGGAAAACCCTCCAACTTATTTTCGCTTGTGTCAACTTTTCCAAACAAAATAAAAAGAGGTGGGGGGGAGGGGGTGAAGAAGGGAGAACCTTTTTCCCGGCCGCCACCTCCTTCCCTCTGAAAACACGCGGGATAATTTTTTGGTTTTGGTTTTGTTTGGCTTTTTTGTTTGGTTGGTTGTTTTGGGGTTTTTTGTTTTGGCTTTTTTTTGTTGTTTAGTTTTGGTTTTTTTTTTCCCCTGGGAGATACCAAAATCCAAGAAATAAAAAATAAAATTAACAACAACAACAACAACAACAACAAAAAATATCCGGGGATTTTTTCTCTCGCCGGCCCGCGGACCCGCAGCGGGGCAGGGGCGGCGCGGAGCAGCCCCGCGCAGGCTGCGCGCCCGGCCGCGGAGGGGCTGCTCGGCCCCTGCCGAACGCCCGCCTGCCGCCGGCCCCAGGCTGGGAGCCTCCGGCTTCCCCGAGGCCCGAGCGGGGCTCTCGGCTCTCAGCGTGACAAAGGACATCGCAAAGAACGATTTGGATTGGTTTTGTTGTTTTTTTGTTTTTTTTTTTTTTTTAAACCAGGTCACAAACATTTATTAATTTACACCAACGGTGGACAAAATTCTGTTGCCTTTTCCACATCAAATTATTCACAGATTCTCTCAATAAAATAGATATGACGGATGCACAACCAGTGAAGAGTTAACTGGACTCCGCTCATTAGCTCCCGAATAATCTATATACAAATAATTACCAATACACCAAAAAACCCACGCACGGAGGGGGTGGGAAAACGGGGATTAAAAAAAAAACAAAACCAGTATGGGAATTCTCCAAACTTCCTGACGGATCCGAGTTTCTTTTAAACGTGCATTTGAATGTCTAATTGGGGGGGAAAAAAAAGAAAGAAAGAAAAAAAACCCTCAGTCCTGAGTTTCACCGACTTTTCTTCTTCTTAAAAACAAAGAAACCTTAAACAGTGCCTTTTAAAACCAAACCCGAAGCTTCAAAGAAACTAAAAATAAGATCGGACCATTAAAACATTTTCTTTGAGAGCAGGGGAGAGACGGACACACATGGCAAAACCACCCGGCACGGAGACTGGCAGGAACGAAAACGGGCTCGCTGCGACCGGGGGCGTCCGCAGCTCCCCTGGCCGCTTTCCCAGGCGATCTGGGGGACCCCCGCGGAAAACCCGCACCTCTCAAAGGAAACATTTCCGACCCTGAGACCGCTTCGTTCTTCACATGCCCCCCCTCCGCCCCTCACACGACGTTGCGTGTTCAAGCAGCCCAGGTCCCAGCTTATGTTACGGCCACTTTATAAATACGCTTTGGCGCTTGTAGGACCAAATCGTGTTATTCTTTCCCTCCTCCCGCCCTCCCGATTTGTTGGATTATTTTTTTTTTCCGACTAAAGAGAGACAAACAGATCTGGATGCCACTGAGCCTGGAAATTAAGTAAAAATTAAAAAAAAAAATTCCTACCTTAAAACACAACAGGAGGAGATGGGGGGGGGGGGGACACGGGGAGAGGGAAGGGGAGCAGTTTCGGAGGAGCGGGGGAGAGCTGGAAAGGGGCCGTTTGCTTCGCGACTCTCCCCCCCATCCCCCTCCCCTTCCCCAGTCCCCAGCACACTTTAAAAATGACAGCTGCTGAGCGTTGTGATTTTACTGGAAAAGTTCTGGGCCGGCTGCAGGAGCGGCTCGTGTGCCAGGCTGACCTGGGGCTGTGCCGGGGCCAAGGCGGGGCTCAGCACGGCCAGGACCTGCGCCGGGGGGCCCGCCTGGCCGGCGGGGTAGGGCGCGGCGGGCGCGACGCTGGGGTTGGTGCTGGGCGGCGGGGGCACGGCCCCCCCGATGATGTTGTCTATGGAAAAAGAGGGCCGGGAGGGGTGGTTGGTGCCGCCGCTGCCGCCGCCGGCGGGCGAGGGGTCCGGCTTGAGGGTCTGGAGGAGGGCGGCGGGCAGGGCGGTGGGGCTCAGCTGGGGGTGGTAGAAGGACTTCCTGCAGTTCAGCTCGCCGCCCAGGAAGGAGGGCAGCCCCGAGGCGGCGGAGAAGACGGAGGCGGCGGCGGGAGGCGGCGGAGCCGGTAACGGGCAGTGCGGCGCCGGGAAGGGGAAGGCGCCCGCGGCGCCGCCGCCTCCGCCACCGGGATGGTGGTGGTGGTGGTGGGGGTAACCCTGGAGCTGCAGGCCGTAGTTGTAGCCGTAAGGTCCGTAGGCGAAGCCGGGCAGGAAGGCGGCGGGGTCGGCGGCCCCGGCCCGCAGCAGCAGCTCGGGGTGCGGCGGGTGCAGCTGCTGCTGCCGCTTGAAGCGCTTCCTCCGCCGCAGGAAGCTCCCGTTGTCGAACATGTCGGCGGACTCGGGGTCCAGCGTCCAGTAGTTGCCCTTGCCCGGGTTGCCGGGCTCCCGGGGGATCTTGACGAAGCAGTCGTTGAGGGAGAGGTTGTGGCGGATGCTGTTCTGCCAGGCGGGGAACTTCTCCCGGTAGTACGGGAAGCGCCCGCTGATGAACTCGCAGATCTCGCTCAGCGTCAGCCGCTTCTTGGGGCTCTGCAGGATGGCCATGGTGATGAGGGCGATGTAGGAGTAGGGCGGCTTCACCAGCGGGTTCTTCCCTCCCGCGCCGCCGCCGCCGCCGCCCGCGGGCGCCTTCTCCCCGGGCGCGGCGCCGCGGGCGCAGGCCGGCTCCGAGCCGCCGGCGGGGGACAGCCGCTCCGGGGACCCCCCCATGCGCGCCTTGGCGGCCCCGCTCCGCGGCAGCGCCAGCCCCAGCGGATCGCCGCCGTCCTCCTCGTCCTCCTCCTCCTCGTCGTCGTCCTCCTCCTCCTCCTCGCTGTACTTGCCCCCATCCTGGGGCGGGCCCACCACGTCGATATCCGCGTCCTCCACCTCGGAGAGCGGCTCTTCCTCCGGGGAGCGCTCGGACATGATCCCGCAGCCGCCGCCGCCGCTGCTGCCCAAAGTCATTGTTGTGCGGCCGGGGCGGCCGGGGCCGGGCTCCCCCTCCCACCTAGCGGCGGCTCCCGGGATGGGCCCGGGGCCGTGCCGGAGGGCTGCGGCCGCCGCTGGGACTCCGCGCCCCGGCGCCGCCGCTCCGCTCCGCTCCGCGCCCCGCTCGCCGCGCCGCTGCTGGCGGGGCAGCGCTGCCGGCTGCGGGGTGGTGGCTGCGGAGGGAGGGGCGGCGGAGGGGGCGCGGGGCGGGGGCGGGGGGACCGGGACGCCCGTGGGCCGGGCAGGGCGCTTGGGAGCAGCGATAATAAATAATGGTGATAATGATAATAAAAGGAGAGAAATTGAAAAAAAAAAAAAAAAAAAAGAGGGGGGGGAGGTTAAAAAAAAAAAAAAAGGAAAGTGGGTTTTGTGACGGCTCCTTGTCTGGTTGGGGGGAGGGAGGGGGAGGGGGAAGGGAGGGGCAGGGGAAGAGGGAGGGGGGAGGGCAGAAGTGGGGAAGGCGGCTCCCCCCTCCCCACCCCTCCCGAGCTGGGACCCGGTGGAAACGCTCCCACACTGCGCCTGCTGCCGGCGCTCCCCAGGCCTTTATACGGCCGCCCCGGCATCACGTGGCGCCCGCCGCAGCCCCCACGGGCACGATGAGGGACTGCCCGGCCCGGTCCCCGGGGAGCGTGTCCCCCGCCCGAGATGCTTTCGAGGAAAGGCGCTGCCCGCTCCCCTGGCGCTCGGATGCCCCCAGCTTGTCTGGAGCCGGCTGCTGTAGGAGGGGGGCGATCGACGCTGGATAAAGCCCCTCCCCGCCCCAAGCGCCCCGCGGTGCTGGAGGCTCTCAGACCCCATTCCTGCGCGATGCGACCGTCGCCTTCCTCCGCCCGGGGGTCCGCGGAGGGTCCGCTCTCCCCCCGAGGGCTGCCCATCCCCGAAGCCGGGAAATGAGCTGCGGAGCTCCCGCAGCCTCGCCGACAGGGACCCTCACTCCGCCAGGACCGAGCCTTCGGCCCCCTTGAGGGGTCCGGTGAATTTGGGGATCCCCGCTCCCCTTCTCCACGCTCTTGCGTCACCGACACGTCACCGCGGCCGGAGCACCCTGCCTGGAAACCCGCCTCCTCCGAGGGCTCCCACCGAAGGGATGCTGCGCCCGGCAGGTGCGGGCCGGAGGGCGAGAGGCAGCGCTCTGCCGAGCCTCTCCCCCCGCCAGCAATAACCAAAGCGAAGGCTGTGCGTGTCCGCGGGGTGCTGGGACCGCTCCCGAGTCCCGCATCCCCGCCCGACGCGGCCGGCCCGGCCGGGCCCAGGAACCCCTCGGGAAGGGGAATATCCTGCGGCCCCGGGACCCTCTGCCTCCGCTTCCCTGACGGCTGCAGAAGGAGGGCGTGGGCAGCAGACACCCACCTTGTCGCGGGCTGCGGGCGAAGCGGGAGAATTTCCTGCTAAACAGAGGCGCACGAGGGCCCCGGGAGCCACCGCAGTGTCCCCGCGGGTGGCAGAGCCCCGCTGCCCCCCTTGCGCTTCGCTGGCGCACTCCGGGGAGCGCATCCACGGCTGAAGCTGCCCAGCCCGTGGCCCGTAGGTGGCTGTGACAGCAGGTTGTCCCTGTCTCTATCGCGGACGCTTTGAACCACGCTCGCGCTGTTAGGTTTTGGTTCGGTTCGGTTTGGTTTTTTCCCTTGGAGGCTCTGCAAACACGTATCTGCTTTCCCGTGGGAGGATGCTTGGGGAGGGAGGAAGGGGATGGGCTCCTCCAAGGGGGTACCACGAGGAGATGTCCCCCCGCCAGGGCCACGCTCGGCAGTGTGAGAATCCGCGGTGATGAATTGCCAGGCTCTGCCGTTAACAGGTGCGAGCATTTGGTGATAAAATCTCCAGCACTAATACCGGGGAGCCGGGCCAAACAGCTGCGCGGCCCCGCTTCCAAATGCCGGTCACAATTACTCAAGCCCTAACGACTCGGTGCACAGGCTCGGCGAATTCGGTGGGACCCCGAGGAGAGGGCAGAAGCGGACGCCTCCGTCCGCACATCTCCAGTGCAAGCAGCGATTTCAGAGCCGGAGCCTCTGCGCGGAGTCGGTCGCATCCTCCTTCCTCGCCGCCAGCGCGGACATCGGGAAGAATTTCTCGATCGGAGTGGAAAAGTAGAGGGGGAAACGTGCTGAGAGTTTCTCGGGAAGGTGGGAAGTGTGTCCCGCGGGCGCGTCTCAGCTCTGGGGGAGCTTTCCTGAGCTTTCACTTTTATACTTCTTCGATGCTCCTAACCTGTGTTCACAACACATACGCATCTATCTCCCTCTCATAAGTTTGCGTGTATATACATATACATATATGTATTCAACTATATCACTATTTATTTTCTTTCTTTTCCCGATATATTATTTTTCATATATAGAAGTAGATATAATTGTCCAACACAGAGAAATGCCTCAAAGATGCCGCATCTTTCCTACTATCATTGTTTAAAGTCTCCGTTCATCAGCCCGGTGGAAAAGCGATGGGAAGAACAAATGGAAGAGAACGGAGAGGGAAAAGACCCGAGCCGCTTTCCATTTTTATTAAGTAAAATAATAGTTATGCCTCCCCTACATAAACGAAAGTGTCATAAAAAATTCCGAAGCAGCTGCCAGAGATTTCGACCACACACACAACGGGGCGATTGAATTTCCACTTGGTGCATTTCATGGCAGCGAGGAACCGCCGGGAGCTGCGCCTTGTGCCTCTGCAGGGCGGCGAAGGGGAGGGCAGGGGGGGCAGCAAAGTGTCGCGCTGCGAGCGGCCGGGGGCAGGGGACACCGCCCGGGGGATGCTCCGGGGCAGAAGATGCTCGGCTGGCCCCCGATCGCTCTGTCCGCAGGCTGGTCCCGCACAGCTCGAAGTGAAACAGATGTGGGTGTCTGCAGCCTGCCCACCCTGCCCTGCCCCGGCCGCCCGCTCTCCCCCTGTCTGCAGGGGTGGGCAGACCTCGGGGGGAGCCCCCGGCAACGCGGAGCTCGGGTGGAGCCGCTTGCTGCTATAATTATGGTCATGGGGACCCCGATGAGGTGGAAAGTGTACGGGGGAGGCGAGAAGGGCTGATCCGAGGCGCTGCTGATGGGATGCGGCCGGTGCCTTGTCCTGCTCCCGCCTGGACCTGGCTCTGCCGCGCAGCACCGCGCACTCCGAGCAGCAGCAGCGCGTCCCGGGCACCCGGCACCGACACCATTCCTGCCTCTTTCGAGGCACATTGTGGTCCCCGCTAAAGGGGGGGATGATCCAAAATGGAACGAGAGGGAATGAATCCCGCTCTCTCTGTCTCCGAACGGCTTCTGTTCGCCGAGTCGGTCTCAGCCTCGGCTTTGCCACGCAAGATCGGCTGCAGAAACGAATCAAAACGAGAAAAAGTACCTAAACTACACCCGTCCCGAGACGATTTAGAAAAGGGAAACCCTGGAGTGAAACAAACCAGATGGTCGGATCCCAGACACAGTGCACACACACGCACACACACACACACGCTACCGGCCGTGCATCCACACACGGAGCAGCGGACGCGTTTTAATGTGCGCCGGGGTAAGAAATTATGTGGTCTCCCGAAAGAAAAACCCTATTGATCTACACGAAAAAATTGCTTTGTCATCGCCCCGCTGAGCCCGGGCATGCTAGGCTGGGAGGGAAACATTTTTCCTTGGGCAGATTTTTAATTTTTCTGCTCTCCTCTCTGCAGTATTTCCTTACAGGCAGCCTCGCTTCCCGTTTGAAGCCAACTCTGCTTTACATTTCACGTTAAATTCCCGTATCAAACGTGCGTGGGGATGAGTGCTGCTGGAGTGGAGAGAGTCTTTAAAAAGTCTCAAAAGTAGGGAAAGAATAAAAAATAAAGGCCATCAACCGATCATTATGATTTTTTTTTTTCTCCTTTAAATTGATTTTCACTGTCTTTCCCGCCTGCCTTAATGAGGTGTTTGATCCAGGCGTGTGGGGTCGGTGTCTGATGCCCTGCTGACGGCTTCAGCAGGTGGATCCCCACAGCCGAGGTTTTACCCCTGGGTGTCCCAGTGTCTCCGCCCGGGTCGGAGATCCTCAAAGCTGCAAAATCGGCCACAACGACCGGGAGCCTTTTTTGTGTTTTGTTTTCCTTTGGTTTTCTGGTTTGTTTGTTTGGGCTTTTTTTTTTTCCCTCACAGGGAGAAACAGTTGCCCTGACCGTGGGCCCAGGGCGTTATTTGGTGGGGGTGTACCCGGAGGGCAGAGCACGAAGCCCGGAGCAGCGCAGGGTGCAATCGCTGCTCCTGCCCTGGCACCGGCCGTGCCCACCCAAAGAGCATCTCCCGGCGCGGGGGCTTAGCGGGGGAAAGCCCCGGGAAGTGAAACTCTTGGGAATTGTGGAAAGTTCAGCTCCAGCCCAGCCCACGTTGCTCCCACACCCTTGCAGATGATCTGTTGGGTTTGTGATCCGTAATCGTTCTTGCTGCTTCTGCCGAGCAGCATCTAAATTCGTTTATTCCGATGAGAACCGCATCTACAAGTCCCCCAAGGCTCAGTGATGGATTTTTCTTTATTACCTCGTTATCAAGCTTGGCTGACCTCTAGCTTCTCTAGAAAACATGAACAAGACGGACCTGCTGCTGCCTGGGCTGCCCCAGGGGGCTCTTTTTCCACTTATGTGATTTCCTTTGATATTATTTCTCCTCTTTCCATATCCAAGGCTCAGACCTTCAGTGCTCCCTGCAGTTCAGCCCTTTTTCCAGCCCCTCACTGCCAGCTCCCAGCTGCAAAGATCAGTTTGCAGCCTGCACACCACGAGCTCCCAGCACAGGGAGGTCAGTGGGAATGGTGGTGACAGATAGTGAGAGATACATGAAATTCCCGGATTGAAAACCCCCAGAGCCAAGTGCCAATATCCATCCCTGCAGCGTTCAGATGTTGGACAACTCGGGTTTGTTGACTTTTCAAATGTAGGTGTCTCAAAATCCGCACCAAAAAAGGCCTGGATTTCAATGAAGGCTTTTCCCAGGAACCCTATTTGCAGAGCTGAGCCCCCATGA